AGATGAATGGACTGTAGACTGAGAACTGAGGTAGTAGAAGAAATGGCAATCCCATCATAAATCAAAGAGAATGCTTTATTCAAGCTCTCTGTAAGAACGCGTGGTAGGCCATATTTAAAATAATCTACAGTAGTAGTAGAATTACTAAAAACTAATTACAACAGAATTAAAATCAGCTAAATGTGTTCCATATAACGAAATCTTTTTTACCTTTTCTAATTCTTGGCTATTAATTTCATGCAACCAGCTGAGATGTTCATGAGCTTGCAAAAAATTCGCCAACTGTCCATGCTGAGAAATGGGCTGAGATAATAGTTTGCCTCGTTTTCCTTTCTCCAGATACCAGCGGAAGAGAAAGTCTGAAAAATTCTACAAATGACAGAGCCAAGAATCCATTCAAGTTTAGAAATATGGTTTGAGATACATTTCTGATAATAAAACAGAAAACTGGTTTTAAGCATTATTATTTCCTATGTTACAGGATTTAATTAGGTAAGATACTCTAAGATTACCCAATTTACCCACTCCATCTGACAAATGAGTAACTTCAGATTCAAAAATCATGTCTTCTCAAGATCACTGATGACTCCGGTACCTTCCAGCCACAGGCCGCGGCTACTTAAATTTAAATGAACTAAAGTCAAAAACTCCGTTCCTCCGTCACACTGGCTACATTTCAACTGTTGAACAGCCTTAAGTGGCTAGTGGCTACCATTTTGGCCAGCACATATATAGAAAATTTCATTATCATAGAAAGTAATAGTCACAATGCGGAGGCTTTAGCTTCCAAATGCTCAAGGGTAGAACGCTGAGCTAGATGACAAACTAGAACCTTGCTGTTAAGTGCTGTTGAGTTGATTCTGACTCATAGTGACCCTGTACAGGGCTTCCAAGGAGCAGCTGGTGAGTCTGAACCACTGACCCTGTGGTTCAAACTGACCTTGTGGTCCAGTACTCTGTCCCACAGCGCCACACCAGGACTCCAAATCAGCACCTAGAGGAGTCTTACAGACCTGGCCAATGTTCCACACCTGATGTGTACGAATGGAGGAGTGGTACATGAGGTGAGGTTGGCAATCAAAGTACAATTGTCCTGTAATCTTACAGTGTTTTGAGAGATTTTCCCACTAACAGTGGAACCTATAACAAACATCGGTCTCATTCTCATACTTTTGGAATCAAAAACAACATAATAAAATTGCACCCAATCTCTGGCCTCCTTGGTTCTCTCAGTCTCTATCCAACCAGTAAGCCTCTTCTGACTGGACTGAATGATCTGCCTCTCTCTCATCTTTTCTACCGAAAAGAATAAAGAGAAAACTCTCCCAGGGGGAAATAAAAATTGACTTTCATCTTTATCCTTCCTTTGTACACACAGTGTCCAAAATATAATCTTAAACTAAGATACAAGAAGAAAACTATGACTAATATTGCTTTAGCTATGATGTAAAATACTAGGGAAATTGCATCCAACAATTACAGTACCAATCAAATACCCCGTTAAAAATATAGAAATCATGAAAAAGGCCACGAGGCATCTGGTCAGGGAATGATGGAATCCCCAAGACTACGGTCCTTAGTGACTTTCCAAGTCTGAAAATGAGCTCATCCCCATGGCTGACTCTTCAGTCAATGAGATTGGGTCGGTTTCCTCACAGCAACCTTGTATAGGATTTCCCAGGAGTGGCTGGTGAGTCGAAACCGCTGACCTTGTGGTTGAAACCAACCTTGCGATTCAGTGCCTGTCCTGTAGTGTCACACCAGGACTCCAAACTATGTGGTGGTGTTGGTTATGTGCCGTGGACTCGGTTCTAATTCTCCCACGGAACAAATGGTAGTTTCGAACTGCTGACCTTGAGGTTAGCAGACGGATTCATAACCACTGTTACCAGAGCTTCTTCCAAACTAGAGACAGGTCTATTTTTGTTGTTGTTATGTGCCAGGGAGTTAGTTCTGACTCATAATAACCCTGTGTAGGGTTTCTGAGGCTTTAAATGTTTGCAGGAGTAAAAAGCCTCACCTTTCTCCCACAGAGTGGCTGGCAGTTTTAAATCACCAACCGTGTGGTTCACAGTTTTAGTGAAGGGAAGGACACTAGGAAAGCCTGCACCTCTTCGAATAATCAACTACTTGAGGTCATAAGGTCAGCATTTACCCAGGAATAACTTTGAGATGGGCTAGGGAAAACAAGAGGACTGGGAACAGAAAGTACAGGGAGAAAGTGGAATCAGTGACGCTGCACTCGGGGCCCGCAGCCAATAAGATGAAGCAAAACGTATATGAATTGTTGAAAGGAAAACTCTCTGTAAACCTTTATCTAACTCATCACAATAAAGAGTGAAAACAAAGTTACAGAATGTTTGTAGGAAAAACGTGCAAAAAAGCAACTGACCAAACATGTTTGTGACAATATTGAGTAAGAAACAAAGAAAGAATATAAAATAATTGTCAAAACGTATTTCTGGGTCATGAAATTTAGGGTGATTTTTATCGTCTTTTTTGTTTATAGAGGTTTTCTGAATTTCATAACACTTATAACATGGAAAAACATTGTTTTAAAAAGGAAGTGCTCTGGTGGCACAATGGTTAAGCACTCAGCTGTTAACTGGAAGGTCAGCAGTTCAAACCCCCCAGTCACTGCTCATGAGAAAGACCCAGTAACCTGCTCCTGTGAAGCTTAGAGCCAGGACCCTTCCGGGTAGCTTTCCTGCTCTGGAGGGTAACTGCAGGAGAGACCTGACTCGACAGGACCCAACAGCAATCAGAGAAAACTAAGATTACTGCTTTCACGAGCAACTGAAATTTACCTAAATGGTAGTCTCACAATGTGAATGTTTTTTTAAAAGAAATAAGAAACATGATATCAGGCCCAAGGACAGCAGGAACCAAAGGTGTCTGTAAATACGAGCTCTCTACAAGTAGTACAAATCTCTTACCTTCCAGGTATTTCCTGTTCCAATCGTTTCAGCCTTACGCATACACTAATACCATGTGACTCTGCGTCTTTATCATAACTTCACATATAAGAACAGAAATAAAATCTTTAACTGGAAGAAATCTTTCAGTAATATTTATAATGAATTGTTTTTCAATTTATAAAGAAACGCAATGTACGAGTCAATGTCTTCTTAACAGGATTCCAGCTACAGAAGGGGTGCACTATATTCCTGCTATGGACTGAACCGGTCCCCTTAAAATATGTGCTGTAAACCCTAAACTCTTCTACTTGTTGGGATGGGCCCATTTGGGAATCAGACCTTCTTTCTTATGTGACTGAGACCGTATTAGTGTAGGGTTTGAGGTAGAAACGTGCAGATTAGGCAGAGAAGAAAGCACAGATGGCGGAGGCCAGATGCCATGCCACTTGACAACAGCTCCGGCACTCACCGGAAAAGAGACCGGGCCCTTCCTCCAGAACCAACAAAGTTCTGAGAGCCGGTACCCTGAATGTATTCTCTGAGCCTCCCAGGCTGTAAGACTGGGTAAAGCTGTGGCGTGGTAGGACAAGCACCTGCCAGCTAACTGAAAAATTGGTGGTTCAAAGCCAGCAGCTGCTCCCAGGAAACTCTATAGCACTACTCTAAGTTGCAACCACTCAATGGCACTCAACAACAACAAACTGCGAGGCAATAAATTTGTTTGTTACAGTCACACATTCGTGGTATTTCTGTCACAGCAGTACTAATAAGTTAAAACCCCAAAGGCAGTTCCTAAATGTTAAAGCCACACACAGAATTTACTACCCCAATGATCAATCTTTGTTACCTGATCAGCAAACTGGGTCATATAACGCTGCAGTCTCCCCTGGTTGTCGGTTTGCTCACACATTTGCACCAAGATGTCAAAGTCACAGTATTTCTCTGCTAAAGAAGCAGCCCACTGATGCTGGCCTAATGCAACTATGGAGATGAGAACAAATGTGGAAAAAACACTGTTAACAAAGTTCGTCTGTAATGAAAAAAAAAAAAAAAAATCAAAGTTGTACTTTATTCATATTAAGCTCTAAAAGTTATTAAAGTGATGGAAACATTTTCAGTTACTGGTATTAGTTTATAATCAACAAAAACTCACTAAAGATGGAAATTCAGGTGCTCGTTTCTTCCTTGTCTACCAGAATGCCACTGCCTTCCTTCATACCCTAGCTAAACACCTAACAGTGCCTAACCCTTGCCTTGGAATCATGTGCTTTTTCCTTCTTCTGTACTCTCGGATGGGCCTTCCACTGTGCACACACGCTCCTGAGCAGCCTCGTTATTCCTGCCCACCTCCCGAGAGGAGCTCTTTAAGAGCAGTTTCCGGGTGAATTTACCCCCTTTTCAAAGCATCTTCAACAGCTTCCATCATAGTCCACCTGAAAAAGGTTAAATGGCACATGTACTGGAAAACAGGTTCAGGAAAGGAATACAGAAAGTGCACATATTTGCTTTGTCCTAAGTCTTTGATGAAGGAGCTCTGGTACGAATCACGCTGCTAATCTCATGGTCAGCAGTTCGAAACTACCAGCTGTTCAACAGGAGAAAGGTGATACTTTCTGCTCCCATAAAGATTTGCAGCCTTGGAAACCCTGTGCAGGGTCACTATGAGTTGGAACTGACTCCAAGGTACTTAACAACAAATCTTCGGTTAACAACACTATACTGAATAAACTACATTAACTATTTGACTCCTTCATCCATTCTGCAAATTCAAAGACTTATTCAGGGTCTTGGTGTGGTGCTGTAGGATAAACACTGAACTGCTAAGTGCAGGACAGAGCTTCAAACCTGCCAGCCATTCCCTGGAAGCCCTATACAAGGTCATTATGAATTAGAACCACCTTAGCTGCTCCTCAAAAACGCCACACAGGATCGCTTTGAGTCGGAATTCACTCAACACTGAACACAACAACAACAACAATGGCACGTAATAACAACAACACTCATTGCAGTTACTGTCGATTCCCACTCACAGCAACCTTATGTGTGTCGGAGTAAAACTGTGCTCCACCGGGTTCTCAGTGGCTGAATTTTCACAAGTGGATCACCAGACCTTTCTGCTAAGGTGTAACTGGGGGAGCTCAAGCCTCCAATCCTTTGGTTGGTAGCCAAGTGCATTAACAGGATCTGTTTGTACCCAGTTGCCCTGACTCAGAAGCAGGCCTCCGTTAAGACCAGGTACTTACGCAGAGGAGATAGGAGGTCTGATCTCTTCTGCAGGTACTCCATTTCCAGAGTGCTGTATCTGTCTTGATCACTGGATTTGTCTAGAGATTTCAGCTGAGAAACATAGCCATCCAGGAAGCAATCAATCAGTGCTACCAGCTGTTCTGTCAGAATGTTTCGGAGGCTGCTGTCTGCCTGAGGATAAACCATCTTGAGGACAATACCATGTTGACGCACTATTGCTGTTCGAATGCCACTGGGACCACTTGTTGCTGTGAAATCACACAAAATACGGTAAACTAAGGTTCTATAATGGCTACAGGAAAGAGTAATTGCCTAAAAATTATGCCACTTCATTAGGCTTGAAAAATAAATCAAACAGATGTTTAATTGATCTCTCTGTGTCCTGTGCAAACCCCATCTTCTCTATAGAAAGCCAAATCCAACAAAACTTGATCCTTCTTTCTAAACTCCTTACTGTTCCACGTGTACATTTTTGTATTAAATCAACATACATGATAGCCAATATCTTTAGGGTCAGAACCTGCTTCTGTGAATCACTATTTGAAATAAATTACCAAGACCTATCAGTGATTCCAAGGGACTTGACTTAGACCAGAGTTCCGTTTCTAGAGATGGCACACGTGATTGTTGATTTCATTCAGAAACTTTCATTAGGGGAGTGACACAAGCATCCCAAACAAGGGATCACTAGAAGAAAACCTGGACGTCCTAACAAATCCGTGCCCGCAGTCTCACCTGTCCACGGAACATACTCAGGTTCCTTCTCTAGCGGTTCTTCAGTTCTCTTATACAAGGAGCTTTTATTTTGGCGATAATGATTAGCAGCCTGCAGCATGTCCTGAAGAGAAACCGATGAAATGTGTTATCACACTCAGAACGTGATGAGTCATAGCTGAAGATGATGTGAAATATCAAAGTCGGTTAATATTGAAAAAACAAAAACAAACTCGGCATGGGTCTGGAAGACTCCTTTCTCACTTCTTTCTGCGTTTAAAATCTGTTTTACTTTATAATTTAAGTTCCATTTTGGAAAACAGCTTCTAGTTATTGAGCTCTGGAAGCAAAATGGTTCAGCACTTGCCTGTTAACGGAAAGACTGGCTGTTCAAACCCAGCAGCTGTGTGGGAAAAACATCTAGCAATGTTTCCTTATAGACTGCATCCGATAGGTCAGTTCTCCTCTGACACAGAGAGCCATGATGAGTCGGTACCAACTTGACAGCACCGAACCTCACTGGTTTTATTTACCAGATCAATAATATACACAGCAAACTTGTAAACACTACCTTGACATTAATACATTTGTAATGATACAAACATCCCTTCCTGATGAAATGCTTATTTTACCAAATTGAAACTTGGATTGTAAACACCTGTTTACATGCACAAGACAAACACTCCACATAACTACTGACTAATAAAATGACTGAGATTTTTCCTTGTTTTTTTTTTTTTTTTGAGTTAACATATGGCTAAAACCTTATACTTTCCTGGGCGTACAGAATGGAACATGGAAATCACTGTCTTTCTCTTCTATCCACACTGTAAGCTTTACTTTTCTGAAACCATCACTATAAACTTTGTACCTTCAAGATATTGTTCACGTTGATGACCACTTCAGCCCATTCAACAGAGTCCATCGCCATGTCCTTCAAGACTTGCTCCTCGTGCTCCAGTAGACACTCGCAGATTGTATCTACTTGGGACACCTGAGGAGTACAGAGACGTTACCTACGTACCACAAAAGTCATGGTGATAGCTTACAACAACAGATACGTACCATCTAACTCAATGGATTTTACTAAGTTGTATCTTCAGCTCACTATACAGGTGAAAATGTAGTAACAATGATGGAGAAAATATAATGAAAAACCAAGAAAAGTTAGAATCTCCTATATGAGTGTCCAAATAAAAACTCTCGTAGATAAGCAATTCTGGATTATTACCAAGTAACTAAAATATTTATTTGTGATAGTCATTAGTGCTGAGTGTGAGCTTTAAATTATGCGAAGTTACAAACGACTTCACTTTACCATGTGCACATTGTAAGAATAACAATAGCCCGACACTAATGAACTGCATAATTGCTTTCTTGGAGGATTCACCCCTTCTTTAGTCATAATAGAAATGTTTGTAGAACAGTAGTAGGTATTTAAGAAAATTACTAAATAAATATACAATTTCTTACTGTTCTTTCCCCCCCACTAATCAACGATACATATATACACACACAACATCTATTTCTATTTTTATGTATTCTCTCTTCCTTATTCCCCCTTCTAATTCATTATGGTTATACCAAAACTATACCCAAAGGAAGCCCAAGACCAGCACACTTCAACATAAAAATCTGTTTTTCCATATAAACTATATATGGATAAAGAAAAAAAAAAGTCATAAAAATCAAAGTCGCTTGATTTGTTACAACATGAACTGTGAGGTGAATTACTTTTTTCTCTTTGACTCAAATTTCTGGTATATTTGTAGTAATACTAATAAACCCTAATAAACCCGATTTTATATTGAAGCTAACAGTTTAAAACACAAAAACAAGAAATAAAAAGTGCTTTGCTCACACTCTAGAAAAACAACAAAAGAAACCTAACTCAAATGTATATAAAAAAGAAATCCGTCAAACCAATTTCTGGCATCATTTAACTTATTTGTGGAACCAAATAAATCAAATAGTTTATGGAATCAACAGCTAACCTGCGCATCAGCCAATGTCTTCCTATTAAACTATATATAGTACCTCAAACATTACCAAAAAAAGACCTGCTAGTAGTTATGTTCAATGTTAGAATACACTCTAGACTGTAAGAAGAAGGAAGTAAAATCTGAGGTGTCAAATAGTTAGAAGTTCCCCAAATATTAAAAAAAAAAAAAAAATGATTACAAACTTCACAGTGTTAGAGAGGAGCCAGAATTGTTTCCACAATCAGACAATGTCTCAGTTAAGGACCACAAACTCCACAAACAGCCTGGCAGGCTGGATACTGGACTAAGAGCCCCCTGGGGTGTATGGTCTCAGTTAGAACCTGTAAGAGCTCTAAGTCTTAATGGTGAGCTCTTTGACAGTGACAGTACAATCCACCCTGTCTGTCTCACAGGACTGTGAAGCAGCTGACAAACATATTAAGGAACTTAGTATTATTACTATAACGTGTAACTGCTACTAGCGGGCTAGTGTCTATATCTGTTCTCCCTTTAACGTTTACAGTAGACTTTTCACTTGATTTAAAAAATGAGGAGATTTAATAAAAGATTTACATACAAAAGTAAGGACAATGAAGAGATACCAATAAGAGAAGATACGCAAGGGAGAAGAGCAGGAGCGGAGTGTGGGAGCCGACCCAGAGAAGTGGCAACGTCCCCCACGTAAACTATCACTCAATTCACAGTAAAAATTAAAAAAAAAAAAAAAAGAAAGGATGTGGTACCTCATGGTCCAGGAGTCTTAGTGGCACCGTAAGATAAGCACTCGACTGCTAACCACAAGGTCAGCAATTGAAACCCGTCTGCCACCCCACAGGAGAAAGAAGCTTTCTGTTCCCGAAAAGATCTGCAGTCTTGGAAACATTATACTGGGTGGAAAGATTTGCAGTCTTGGAAACGTTACACCAGGTGGCAATGGCAGTTGGTCTGTTTTTTTGGTTAGGTAGGACCCAGGGCCAGGGCCAGTCAGGAGTCACTATCACCCTACAGGCCTGATGGGGGTGGGGGTGGGGGTGGGTGGGTATAGGCAGGACTTGTGGTAACCTGATAGTTCATAGATAGGTATAAGTGGTAAATGAATGATCAGTAAGTGATACATTGAGTGATACTTTATTTAGAAAATACGGTATCTAACTTAAAATTTCAGCAAGAGCTTTTATAATTTCATTTGCTATCCGTTTTGTCCCTGCTGGCATGAGTGATAAATGGCACCGCTAAGCAAAGCCACATTAAGGGACTTAACTTACCTCTCTAAAGAAGACATCTGCAGGAGTCAGGTTCGATGGGATTTCACAGTCCCTTTTGTTCAAGGCAATCACTATAGCAGTATTCACCAGATCAGAAAGCCTGGAGTGGTGGTTCTTGAGAACTATAGCAGCTGACAACTTTTCTGCATGCTCACAAAGCAGGAGCCGAGTTGCCATTGGCAGCCCTCTTACAGCACAAGTGCTGAGCCGTCCAAATAAGCCAACCTTGTAAAAGACGACACTGATCTCAGAGAGCGTGAACAGTAGGAGCACGCTCCCAGAAAACATTCAGAGCAGTCACGTAATCTAGTCACACCCACTGCTATTGCTGTTGTTGTGAAGTGTCCTTGAACTAGTTCCAATCCAGTTGAGTTGGGTCCAATCCATAGCAACCCTGTAGAGGGTTTCCGAGGAGCAGCTGGTGAGCTTGAACTGCCAACCTGTGGTTCATAGTGACCCTATATAATGGCTATTTAAATGTAAATTAAACAACAACAAAAAAGCTCAACTGCAAAAAAACCATGAGGCTAGTGGCTACCACAAGGAAAAACCAATTCCTATTGGACTGCACTGGTAAGAGTCTTTAAAATTGGAACATTATTGGTTTAAAAAAAGAGCAAAAGCAGGGTGAAATATGTACACAGGAATCGCTATTTATTAATTAGAAAAACTCAGATGGGTGGTTTTATGCAACAATTCTTTCCAGCAGCAAAACCATGTTCTAATTTAGATTCAAATACATTTTACAAACAAGAAAAAGAATGTTTATATCTAATTGCACTTTAAAATGTAAAATCCAAGCCCTTGTGTAGCACTGTGTAGGGTTAATATGCTGGACTGCAAGGTCGGTTTCAACCACAAGGTCGGAGGTTCAAGTCCACCAGCTGCTCCTCGAAATCCTACACCGGATTGCTATGTGTCGGAACCAACTCTATGGCACTTAACGACAACAATATATATATATACATATATATATACATACACACATATACATATATACATATACATATATATTATGTATGGATTCCTAGTGTGGCACTGTGGGTTAATGCATCAGACTGCAACATCGGATTGAACCATAAGGCCAGCGGTTCAAGCTCACCAGTCGCTCCTCAGAAACCCTATACAGAGTCGCTATGGGTCGGAACCGACTCAACAGTACCTCACAACAACAATATATACATACGTCAGAATCCTAGTGTGGTGCTGTAGGATAATGCACTGGACCACAAGGTCATTTTGAACTGTACAGTCAGCAGTTCAAACTCACCAGTCTCTCCCTGGAAACCCCACACAGGGTTGCTCTGAGTTGGTATCAACTTGACAGCACTAACAACATATATATCTCACCTCACTGGGTTGTTTTTTTAATGTTACAAAACCTGTTTTCAGAAAACAGCACATATGAAAATATGAATGAAATTCTTCTTTAAAAGGTCCTGTCTAGTAGATATCATACGGCATAACAGAAGATGGGGAAACAACATTTGGCTGCCATCACTTTGATACTGAATAATAAGCCCTCACACAGCCCTAGAAGGAGCCCTGTAGTGCAGTAGATAATTAATTGGGCTAACTGCAAAGTAAGCAGTTCGAATCTACCAGTGGCTCCTCGAGAAATGAGGCTTTTTGTTCCCATAACGATATACAGCCTCGGAAATCCTGTATAAGGCTGCGGTGAGTAGAAACGGACTCAGTGGCATACCAGTATCACCAACACCACAGAGCCCTGTAATTACTTACTTTCAAAACAGCACAAAAAATAGAAAATGTGAGTCCCAGCCCACCCCACAAAGCACCTCAGAATAAGCGAGAAGGGATTTCCCGTTGACCGGGAGATGGTAAAGTCGGATGGCCTGGCCACCACTGGTACTCAGCAACAAGCACTCTTACTTGGTGAATGAAGTCCATGAGGAAAGAGTGGGCTTTCATCTTGTCTTCCAGCTGGTGGAGAATAATGAGTGATGTATTGCTGAAGCCAGGTGCCTCTGTTAAAACACAATAACAAAGTTTAAGCACACAGCGTACGGGTAATGCCATAGTTATTACTATAAAACAAAACTTTACGAAAACTTATACAAAAAAATCCAACAGCCTTTCACTACAATTATTTTGAATATTTGCCCATTAGTTAGAGGGGACCTAAGTAACTGTTTGAAACAGAAGAAATGGGTGCATGACACAAATTACTGTCCTTACAGGGTACTGTCCGAGACAGTGCACCCTGGTACATCCTGCAGGGCCATAGCAGAGGGAAATGTGTTCCATGGGCCACTGGAAGCTATGCACCCTCGGAGGAGCGCAGAGGGACATATGTGTCCCATCAATCCTACCATCCAGAGCCAAGAGGGACATGCTCAGTGTTACAGTCCACCCATGACCAAACATTTATCAAGAAAGACTTTAAAGAGAAAAACAATTCCATCATGAAAGGACGAATCCAGTAAAAGTTGGGGAAGTGAAGAGAAACAGACAAAGAAAGAAGGCAAATACTGATGTGTTTCTCATAACTCTCTAAGGAGGAGAGAAAATACAGGTTTGAGAGAGTCTGGGATTTCTTGGTAAACCCTCTGGCCTCCTGGTCACCACTCTTCTGTCAGTTGGTCATACTGTGGTGGCTTGTGGGCTACTGTCATGCTGGAAGCCGGAATGCCATTGGTATTATGAATGTGGTACTGTGGTGGCTTGTGTGGTTCTGTGACGCACCAGTATTTTACATACTGACAGACACAGTGTACTACATGGAGTCCTGGGGGGCACTGGACCACAAAGTCAGTCTGAACTACAAGGTCAGCAGTTCAAACTCACCAGCTGCTCCTCAAACACACTATACAGGGTCGCTATGAGTCAGAGTCAACTAGAAGGCACCTACTAACAGCAAAAACATGGCCTTAATCATTCAAACCCCAAAATTCAATCCCCGGAGGCATGATCTTATGTCTACTAAGTATTCCTAACTTTGTCCCTATGTAGTTTATTACATGTATGAATACCTGTCAGTTTGTTATACTGTGGGGGCTTGTGGGCTGCTGCTGCGATGCTGGAAACTATGCCACCGGTATTTTAAGTACCAGCAGACTCCAGACCTAAGGCAGACGAAGAAGGAGAGGTAGAACGGTTATCCACTGGAAACCTATGGACGGTATGTGAACACTACCGGAAAATGAGCCCCTCAGGTTGGAAGGCACTTAAAATACGACGAGGGCAGAGCTGCCTCCTCCAAGCAGAGCTGACCTTAATGATGCAGATGGAGCCAAGCTTACGGGACCTTCATCTGCAGAAGGGGCACAACTCACAATGAGATGACCCAGATGCAAACAGCCATTCATAATCAGAACGTAAAATGGACAAAGCAGGAATCCAAGAAAACAGGAAGTTGTCACGAATGAAATGGACGGCATATGGATCGATACCCTAAACATTACTGAGTTGAAACAGACTGCTTCTGGCTAATCTGAATCAGACAACTATGGTCCACTATGCTAGGAATGGCAAACTGGAAAGGAAGGGTATCACACTCATCATCAAAAAGAGTATCTCAAGATGACTCTTGAAGTACAATGCTGTCTGTGACAGGACAGTGTCTGTACATCTATAAGGAAAACCAGCGAATACCATTATGACCGAAATGTATGTACCAACCACTAAACCCAATGATGAAGAAAGGGAAGAATTCTAACTATTTCTCCAGTCTAAAATTGATCCAATACGCAATAATCAAGGTGCATTGATAATTACTGGTGATTGGAATGTGAAAGCTGGAAACAAAGTGAAAAATACGGTTTTGGCAATAGAAATGATGCTGGTGGTCACATGGCAGCATTTTGCAAGACCACAAAATTAATTCTTTGAAAAACCATTTTCAACAACAAAAATGGTGACTATACACGTAGACCTCACCAGATGGAACACACAGGAATGAAAGTGACTGTTTATCTGTGGAAAGAGACAACAGAGCAGCCATCAGCTCAAGTAAAATCAGGGGCCGACTGAGGAACAGACCAATAGCTGCTACGTGTGTTCGGGCTGAAGCTGAAGAAAAGTAAAACAAGGTCACCAGAGCTGTCTGCTGTTTTGTGTCCTCACATCAGTTCTGACTAATAATTATCCTATATATGGTTTCTGAGAGTTGCTGGTGGGTTTGAACTGTCAAACTTGTGGCTGGCAGTCCATGCTTATCCTAGCGTATCACCAGGGCTCAACCTTGAGTATATCCTATCTGAATTTAGAGATCATCTCAAGAACAGATTTGATACATTAGACACAAACAGTCAAAGACCAGAGGCGGGATGACATCAAGAACATCATACATGAGAAAGCAAAAGGTCATTAAAAAGATGAGAGAAAGAAAACACCAAAATGGATGTCAGAAGAGACTCTGAAAGTTGCTCTTGAACAGAGATGCTCTTGAACACAGAGAAGCAAAAGTGACTGGACAAAAGAATGCAGTAAAAGAGCTGAAGAGAACATTTCAAAATGGAGCTTGAGAAGACAAAATGAAACATGTAAAGGCCTGGAATCAGAAAACCGAAAGGGAAGGACACGTTCATTCCACCTTTCTCAAGCTGAAGGAACTGAAGAAAAATTCAAGCCTCGCCTTTAAGTAGTGAGGATTCTATGAGCAAAACATTGAGTGAAGCAGGAATCATCAAAAAAAAAGAAGGAAAACAGTCACTGTGCCAAAAAGAACTAATAGATGTTCAACCATTTTAAGAGATAGCTTATGAACAAGAATGAAAGGTACTGAAGGGAATCCAAGCTGTACTGAATACAATGGTGAAAAACAAGACTCCAGGAATTGATGGAACACAATTTCAAATGTTTCAACAAACTAATGCAATATTGGCAGTGTCAATTCATCTATGCCAAGAAATTTGGAAGACAGCTATCTGGCTAACAAGTTAGAAGAGGTTCACATTTGTGCCCATTCCAAAGAAAGGTGATCCAATAGAATGAAGTAATTACTGAACAGTATTAATATCACATGTAAGTAAAATTTTGCTGAAGGTAATTAAAAAATGGTTCCAACAGCACATCGACTGGGAGCTACCAGAAATTCAAGTTGGATTCAGAAGACAACATGGAAGGTGGGTTATGACTGCAAGCATCAGATAGATCTGGGCAGAAAGCAAAGGCTACCAGAACGATGTTTATTTGTGTCTTACTGATGATGCAAAGGCTTTAAACCGTGTGGACCCTAACAAACTACGGATACTATTGCAAAGAATGGGCATTCCAGAACACTTAGTTGGGCTCATGAGGAACCTGGATATAGACAAATAGAAAATTGTTCAAACAAAACAAGGGGTTACTGAATTGTTTAAAATCAGAAACTGTGCGACAGGGTTGAATTCTTTCACCACACTTAATCTGTATGCAGAGCACATAATTCGAGAAGTTGGATTATATGATGAATGTGGACTGAGGACTGGAGGAAGACTCATTAACAACCTACGATAAGTAGATGTTGGAAGTGAAGAGGACTTGAAGTAGTTACTGATAAAGATCAAAGACTGCAGTCTTCGGTATGGATTACACTGCAATGTAAGGAAAACAAAAATCCTCACAACTGGACCAATAAATAACGTGATAAACTGAAAAATGGCTGAAGTTGCAAAGATTTCCTTTTACTTGGATCCACGATCAATGTTCATGGAAGCTGCAGTCAAGAAACCAAACGACGGATTGCATTAGGCAAATGTGCTGCACAAGCCCTCTTTAAAGTGTTGAAGAGCAAAGATGCTCCCGTCAATAACCTCATATGCATGCCAACGCTGAACAATGAGGAAGGAAGGAAGACTGGAGAATCGATGCTTTTGAATTATGGTGGTGTAAAAAGAATACTGAAAGTGCCACTGACTGCCAGAGGAACAAACATGTTTTAGAAGAAGTATGGCTGGGATGCACCTTACAAACAAGGATGGCGAGACTTCTCTCCAGTATTTCTGAGATGTTGTCTAGAAGGGCCAGTCCTCGAAGAAAGACATCATGCTTGGTGAAGTGGAGGGTCCACCCAACGAGAAGGACTGACACATAACAACTGTGAGGATGGCGCAGAACCCAGTGGTGCTTTGTTCTGCTGGTCACAGGACCGCTACCAGGCAGAACTGACCTGACAGCACCCTGATGCTGCTGGGAAGTGTGAAGAGGGCAGTCACATGGGCACGCAGGAGGACCTCATCTGTCAACTTCCACCTGGGGAGACTGCTTACTGTCACTGACTATGTTAAAACTACCATCTTACTCGGGGACACATTAAACGTCAAGTGTCCAATTATAAACTCAGAAGGGCTAATTAGTCTGTATGAAAACAATTGTTAAGTACCATCAACTGGGTTCCGACTCAAAGCGACCCTCTATACGGTTTCCAAGGCACAGCGGGTGAGTTTCAGCTGCCGACCTTGTGGCCCAGTGCTTATCTTACAGCACCACACCAGGGCTCCCAGGACAATTAGGACTCGTTAGAATGTCTCCTCAGTTTCTGTTTTATTACCTACCCTTTCCAAAATAGACCTCACTGGCTATCATCTTTTATAAATATATCAAATTGTTTGAGAAATTAAAACGAGACCCTTTAAAAAGAAGAACCAGAATATTCTTCTCTAAACCGATCACCCCATCATATTACATCCGATGCATTCTTACCCTCGGGGACAGACTCAGCCCAGCGTGGATCTGATGCCGGATAATCATCTGTCAGGTCCACACTAATCTGGGTAACGGCTCTGTCTAGTTCACAGTCAGATTCCAAATCAGCACACGCGGAAAACAGCTCATCAACCACCATCTGAGCATGACCTAAATCCTTTCTGCAATGAAATTACAATACGAAAGTATTAAGGGTGGTAAAACATTTTCAGAACTCACCTAGAAAAGACAAAATAAATCCCCTCTTAGAAGATTTAGTGCAAAGCTAATTATCTTTACTAAAAGTTAATAAAGGGGAGCAAGCTACGATGTATTAAGTCAAAAAAGATAAATACTTATAACATGCAAAGGCCGGAGGTGGGATGGAATGTTACACCACACATTAAACACTGTCCTGGACTTCACCAAATATGTGGTGTGATGGAGGCATCAGATGAATAAATAAATAAGCAACTCTACAGGCAGGGAGGAGACAGAGACTGTAAAGCCTTCGAAAGGGCCTGAGGCCGCTAGAGAGGCCCAGGAAATCATCCTGGAGGACAAGAGCGTTAAGCTGAGGACAGGCAAGGAGCTGGTCAGTCAAGGCCAGCACGAGGAGGACAGCTGGAACATGTACTGACTTGTAAACAGTTGAGTCTGTGCATCAGGAAACAGAGGGTAGGGCAGAGATAAAGTCGTGCATTTCTTCAGATACCACCCAGGGACAGTGTCAGATTATCCAACAAGTAAGATAAGCACAGGCTTACTTACGCTTATGTTGACTTTCACAATATCAAAGGTTCTGATACTACACATTGCTGGCATGTCTCTCTCCCAACCCCACATCACCTTCTTACAAAATCAAGACCTTGTTTCAAACTGACAACATCTGGCAAGAGACAAAAGGAGAAAGAAGCAAGCCGAGAAAAAGGACCAGAGTGCCGCCCAGAAAGAAGACCCTACACTGGATAGGGTTCCCAAGGGGCGGCTAGCATGCTAACGCGCAGTGCCACACCGGGACTCTGAGAATCTACTGTTGCTGTTGTTGTTGTTATGTGCTGTAGAGTCAGTGCCGACTCATAGCAACCCTGCACAGGGATTCCGAGGCTGTAAATCTTTACGGGAGCAGAAAGCCTCTTCTTTCTCCCGCGGAACTGCTGGTAGTTTCAAACAGCTGACCTTAAGGTTGGCAGCCCGACTCATAACCACTACGCCACCAACCTCCTAGACCCAGGGAAAGACTGATACCAAATCACAACGAGATCTCCAAGGAACATTGATTGGGCTCACTGACATTAAAAGGAGACAAGGACCGTCCCCTAGAGCCAACTAAGAAAGAAAGTTTTCTCCTACAGGTGGCGTCGTGACTTTGGACTTCTAACTCCCTAAACTATGACAGAAGACATTTCTATTTGTTAAAGCCATTCCTTGTGTGATATTTGTTATAGCCGCACTTGATAACAGAAGACAT